ACCGGGGGGAAATAAAGGAAAACGAATGCAGCCACCACATCTAGACTGGTAGGCTGCAGTGTATGACATTTTGTTTTTGGGGTTTCGTTACCCTTTATATCTTTTTTCTCCCACTAATCTATTCCAGAACGGCTGCGCCAGTTTTTCTCAATCATAATTGTTTATTTGTCCTTGTGAGTCGCGGAGTTTATCTTACGGATAATGAAGTCATTCTTTCTGACTTTCCAATAACAGATGAATGATGATTGTAGAACGGAATCCGAGACGAGGATTTGCCGCATGCTCCACCCGTAAGTGCGCCCAATACATTCATCACTGCTGAAAGAAATACATTTCCTGTTTGCCTTTTCCTTCTAGCTGATCGGATTGCAGTCAAGTGAATGAAAGGTGACGGGAAAGCAAACATGGCTGATCCATACGAGTGCCCTCCAAACAATATGTCACCCTTCACATTACTGGATACAGGAGAATCCTACCGCACTCCTTACTGGTATGTCCCTTGCGGTGGGTGCTGTAGTGAGTGCGGATGGCGCCGCTTCAGATTCACGTAGTAAAATATATCACCAGCAAACAGGGCCGGATTTACTCTCTCTGCTACCCCAATGCCAGTTTCCTCGATGCGCCCCCCTCCACCCCTCTTCCATGGAGAATGGCAGACCTGCAGGCTGCATACAAGTGATCTCGGCAACATTGCAGAGATCAAAAACAAGTGGCAGCTTCCCTGCTGTACATTTAGCCCTGCTTGCCCAAAGCAGGGCTAAATGTAGAAAACAACTACCCACCTGGCCCCTGGAACTGTATGTCCTGGGTGTCAGGATATAGGAATTGCACACCCCTGCAGCCCCTCTACTCCCTGCTGCCCCAAGGCCGGACCTTGGTTGGCCTTGTGGGAAATCCAGCCCTGCCAGCACACCGTGGTCAAATGTTCAGAAACTGATTATTTTATTGATACGCACACCTTGCCTGAGGAAGGGACCCCCGACTGGCCCTGAAACGTTGCTATTGACAAGATGTGTGTATCAATAAAATGATCACTTTCTGAAGATTTGACCACGGTGTGCTGCTGATATATTTTACTACCTCCACATTACTGATCGCTTTTCGGGAAGCTAAAGTAGAGCTGAATGCAAAACTTTGCAGGTGACAGGCAATGAACCCCTGTAGTGTCCCATCAAGTTATTTTATTCCATCCTTGTGCCAGTTGTAGAATATTAGCTGTTGATTCTGACAATACTGTCACTTCCATGCAAATGTGACAACGCTCGCACAATACATTGCAATACAGTGGCATGTTGTCACCCTTGCGTGCCTGCTGCAAGAAACTGCTGTGTAACCATGTAGCTGCCAGGCTTCCTGTTAGGCTTGTAGATTCTAGTGGAAGTCACAGGAAGTGATGCAGACAGTGGCTTTGGCTTAGATCCCTGCAGTGATGGAAGGGGGTACACTTTAAAAAAAGAAAAAAGTTTTTTAATCTTAAAATGTATATTGTTAGGTTTGGTATGCTGATTGTATATTGCTTCACCACACTTGCATCCATTTGAAGACAAGGGTCACGCTCCACTCCCTACAGCCATTCAATAGCAGGTGACGGCTCCCAGCTCGCCTCAGCCGCACATCAATATAACACAATAAAGAAACGCGCCACCATCCCATTCAATAATTGTAAAGTATATTAAATCAGAGCCAGGCAGTCCACCTGGGCCCTCGCCGACTGATGCGTTTCGCTTGGTATGAGCATCATCGTAATAAGCAAAGCGCGTAAGCCAGATGGACTGCCTGAATCTGATTTAAAGGAGAACTACGAGGTGAGTACTTCTCACTCACCTCATAGTTCTAGCTGACCTGTGACAATGAGACTGTCACAGGTCGGCTCAGTAGATCGGGAGGTGAGCGAACACATACCGGCGTCCGCTCACCTCTCGATCCTGTCACGGCTCTCTGCCGTGACAGGGGTTGGATTCCCCCCTCCGCCAGCGCTGACTGGTGGAACGGACAGGGGGGAGGGTACAGCTGGCTCTGCCTCTAGATAGGCAGAGCCAGCTGTCACTCACGCAGCTGGACGGATCTCAACATCAATGTCGGGATCCGCTCCGGCGTCTCAGTATACCGCGAGCTGTAGCTCCCTATATACTGAGCTTAGGGTGACGGGAGGACGCTAGTTTGTGTACTCCCGTTACCCTAAGGAGAACTATGGGGAAAAGCCCTAACCCCATAGTTCTCCTTTAATATACTTTACGATTAATGAATAGGAGCAAGGCTCTTTTCTTGTCGGTGTTACACTTACCGCCATGTTGAACATTCGGGTTTACCATTTACACATAGCAGAGAATGTTTATAACCTCAACCGTCGACCGCAGTCATATATGGGAGCGTAATTTCGCTTTTTATTGTCTCTTTAATACTTTGCTGCTTGGAATTGATGACAATAAAGTTTTGTACGCATCGTTATTGTTTCGTGCCGCATACCGAATAACAGGATCATCTTGTCTACTGCGTTCTATAATTACATCACAGTGATTATAATCCTGTGGTGAGCATGACTCTCACGCTTATTGCATGTTCGGTGCTATAGAAACAAATTGATCTTCACTGACCTAAAAAAAAAACAAAGTACCCAACAAACAGCCGACCATTAAATATTGTTGTTTCCTCCTTCAAGAGACATTATGAGTGTTTTTAAAACCCATTAACATCCTTCTATTTGCATCGACAGCCTTTGTTCTGGTGCATTGATGCGCATCGCCTGAACCCTTTCACTGCCGGAGCAGTTGCGCACGTTAAAATGCACTTTTTATGCCTAAAAATTGCCTGAAGAAATGGTGGCAGATGCAAATTTTGCAACACAAATGTCACACAATATTAGTGCAAAGGTTGTTATCAACCCCAAATTCTTTAATACAAAATGCATTCGGATGAATGGTTGTGTGCACAAACACAAGGTAGTGCCCAGCTGTACAGTACAATATACAAAGATGAGGCTGTGTTGAGTAAATAGATAACAAACATGTCGAGCCTCAAAACTGTGCGTGCCCGTGAAACAGAGAAACACTCTAGTACCCTAAATTGTCCAGAGGCAGCACTTTAAAAGCTTTTACAGCACAATTGAATAAGAATTACACTCTAGTATGTGTGACCATACACTGTATGTGTGGTGCAATCATTTTCATACACATTTATGTGTATGTGGGAGGGCTATATGCCCCTATTGTCACCTATGGACCCCACTTAGGATGATCAACCACAGATCATGCTTGATCAGGTTCTTCCCCAGTCACATTGGCCGAGAGGAATGGCGGCTCAGAAACTGGAAGTCTTGAAATCCTTGTTGCTTCCAGGGTTCATTCAAAGGAGAGGAGCTCACAAGAAGGGATGTTCTCTGATCTCCCTTCATGCTCCCCGCTGACAACCACCGTTGCTGCCTGGGGCCACCAGTAGTGGAGCCCGGGATAAATGCCGGGGGGAATGGGCTTTGGCGGGTGTAAAAGAAGAGCCGACAGACAGAAAGCCAAAAGTCAGCTGAGGGAGTCAGTTTGCAGTTCCCTGCTGTCACAGTTATAGTACTTACATCCACGGCAGCAAACAGGGTGAAGGCATCCCTACCTCTTTGAATGAGAAATAAATGAGTCTAAGCACATGTACATTAGGTTGCCTTAGATGTGTCACCCCCCACTGAGTGTAGCAACCCGCATGTGTAGTGAGGTGTGGGCACCAGGTTTAAAGCCGAGCTCTGGGTAGATACAAAACACACAAACTAATGCACATCTGTCATCAATACATCATTAAACGCATTTTTTTTCACATGCAAGCGGTGTAAGTACCTGAGTATGTCCTGGTGTCACCAGTCCCTGTACAGAAAGGCTGAGTAGAATACTATTATTTCCAGTACGAGTACCAATACTTTTCCTCAAGCACTCACCGATGCCAATTACCGATACCTTAAGAAGTGGTCAGCGTCGGGTTTTATTCAGTCGCAGAAAGACTTTGGAGCAGCCAGAGGAGGAATTGTATGTATGCTCATTCATGCTGTGCATTCAAGCATGCAGTATTTCCCAGAAATCAGTGCATTGCTCAGAGATATGAACGGGCCTGATTGATGTGCATGTCTTTTTTTGTTTGTTTGTTGCAGTTTCCTTGTAGTTAGTCCACTGGGACCCTCATCCTAAACTCACAGAAACCTAACTGTAGTAGCTCCAGGTGCTGGCTACTGAACTAGCCTTTGACAGAGCAATAAGTAACAGGGTGGAGAATGCACCAAGGGCCCCATTACACTACCCCTCTCTGTACACTCATTACTGCACTCCACTCACTCACATGCATGTTACATACTCCAGACCTCTCCCATGTGTGTGTTTTACACTGTAAGCTGCTCTTCTTTGTACTGTGTTGTCGCTCACATCACCCTGCACACTGTGCTGAAAGCTACAACCTTCCCATTAGGTCCCTGCACCTGAATGTGTTGCTTGTTGATCTCTAATCCTTTTTGTAGCATCCGTTCTGCATCAACCAACTGCTTTCTCGCATCCATATCCAGGTTCTGGGATGACCACAGCTGCTCAAATCCCATTAGTGTATGTAACCCCCCCCGCCCAATGTCATGAAGATGAGGTGGTTGGTAATTCCAACACACTTCCTGTTGTAGGGTGACAATGCTGCTCCTTCATACAGTGCAGCAAGCATAGTCGCCCTACAACAGGGAGTGTGATGGGATTACGAAACACCTCATCTTCATAAGATTTATAGGACAGGAAGTGTATTACCGGTATGATCACCAAGTAAAAAATGAAGGGGGGGGGAGGGGGGCCTAAAAACGAAGACTAATGCAGTCACCTACTCTAAGGACTGGTAAGCTGCAATATATGACATTTTTGTTCCTGACTTTTTGAAAAGAAGTCAAAAGTTGGGCCTGGATGTTTTGTCACCTTTATACCTTGCATGCAAATCCTTCAAAGTTCAGGGACATTATCCGTACACAAGCTACAAACGGTGGTTTTTGCTTATATATAAAAAAGTCACAATCTTTATTTTTATTAATGAGACTGGACGATTTACAAGACAATGATGTGGCAAGAGAATGGTTAATAGACCGATGGTCTGTAAGACTGCTACTTGGACAATTGTTAGGAGACGGTCAGATGAGGGGGTCATGGCAGGAAGCGGATGAACGGCGTGACACCAAAACAGGTCCCTTACAAGGGTCATAAAACAATGATGTCGTCTGTGAAAGTGAAGGCCAGATTAGAGTCTAATGGGATCAGGTGGTCTGGGGGGGAACGGACACCGGCATTGTGTCAGGAACCTCCAATCGGGCCAGGCGGCTCTGCTCCAGAGCGATCGCTTCGGCTGAGTGTTTACACCGCTCAGAGCCACACTGACATGTAAAGTATTTGCTCTTAATGTCCCAGAAACGGTCGCCATAGTCAAACCTGGGAGAGGACAGACAAGTGCAGGAAACATATTGAAAAATGAAACAAAAATTATATGATATAATATATACATTTTAAAGTGACACTGTCACAAAATGGCAGAGATGAAGATTTACTTGCCACTCTCCCGTTGCCCATACTGCCAAACTCCGTTCTATTGCTGAGGAATCGCCCCCCAAGGGCTGCTGGGAAAAATACACTTCTGGGTGTCAATACCCAGTGTCCTCAGCAGTGCTCATTGGTTTCTTCTGCTCCTGGAGGATTGCAGGAGGAACCAATGAGAACTTCGGGGACAAAAGGAGACTGACACTCTGTTTTCCAGCAGATCTCGGTATCAGTTCTCTTCGGCGGTGCAGACGGCGGGAGAGGTAAGCATGCAAACACTTCTTTACAGGAAACATCTTAATTTTGAAATCTATCATGATGGCGGGGTCACTTTAAAAAAAAGGGGGTGTGAGGTCACAGACATATGGAGGAATTTAAAGAAAGGACAGTGTCACTGAAATGACTGCTATTAAAGATAAAGGGCATTGTCGCCATCTCTCTTACCCAAGTTCCTCTCCTGCCCTGATGTCCTTTCCACTGAAGAAGGCAATACGAGGAAACCGCAAGTCCTGGTGGGACATGAAGACTCTGACTGGGATGAGGTTGGGCTCACACAGATGGTTAATGAAACGGCTGACGTTCCCATAGTACCTAGCGTCTATACAGTATACTTCTCCGTCCTGAGGAAAATAAGAGACAGTTCCAGTGTGCTGCATGTGTTACGTATTTTAGTCATCCAGTTTTTGTATTGTATCTCAGACTTTGCAGGGGAAAAAAAAAAAAAAACGACATTCTAGAAGAAGATCCTTCATTCCAACTGCATTGCAAGATTAAAAATCCACATATATTAGGGCTGCAGCTAATGATTATTTTCATAATCGTTTAGTTGTCCGATTATTTTTTCAACTAATCGATTGGTTGCATAAAAAAAAAAATCTCTCTCTCCCCCTCTCTCCATCTCCCTCTTTCCCTCTAGATAAAGAGAATAGCTGCCAACTAGTCTCATAATCTATTAGTTGTTGCAGCCCTAACATATAATTACTTATATCATGATCTGTGGTAAAGAGCCTGGACCTATTATACCATACACACCATGTACATGATTCATTGTACACTGGGCCTGCAGACACCCTCCTGCTATATGCAACATGGCATTGGAGACAATATAAAAAACATTGACATAAGCCTGCATCTGCCTTCTCCCCAGGCCCAGCCACTTGTAGGTATGAAGTCTCACAAGCTTTCATAGCAAGGCAATATGAAACCAGCTTTTCTATGCAGTCACATAGGACGATTGCAGATTATACTCTACACTGGGAATGCAATCCCTGTCCTCCTAGTGGTGTAGCCAGAGATCTGCAGTCCCTCCAATGAACAGTGAGGGAAAGAGGGATACAGGATCCCTATAAATTATAAAATAGGCACTTAGGGGAGCACATGCGCGCACGTACACAGACGCACACACACTTTCCCTCTTTAGGAACTATGAACTCGACTGCAATTGAGAAACAAGGTGCTGCATTCAAGAGGAGTTACATCTGACAGCATGTCCTTTCTGTGCAATGACGGAGAAACGAATATGCTTACAGAAGAACATTGTCATAAACTATGCCAGAGCCAACCTGATTCCGAGTACAAGCATGGGGCTTAAACAAATATGTGCTAAAAGAAGCAGCCAATTAAAAATAGCCAGGACTACAGACAGACATTCACATATGGAAAGCACAAACAGGGAATTCACAGGCATATATTAAGGTGAATTTATCAAAACTGGAGCAGCTGTGCATGGCCACCAATCAGCTTCTCTCTCTCATTTTCAAATCTCACCTGAACAAACTGTAGAGAGAAGCTGATTGGTTGCCATGGGCAACTGCTCCAGATTCTCTCTGCTCCAGTTTTGATAAATTCCCCCCACTGTCTGCTCCAGTTTTGATAAATTCCCCCCATTGTGCTCACACAGAGGAGTTACAGCTCACAGTGAGGTTATTTTACATGGTTATCTCAGATATAAAACATTGCTTTGCAGAGATCTGCTTTATTTATCATCATATACTGGAACAAGTACTTACCTTATTGTCCAGATCAAACAGATAGGAATCGTCTTCTCGAACATCTGCTTCTGCGTCCGAGATCAACTCTCCTACATATCTGCGGCAGGAATTAGGAATCAGGATTACAATATAGGAGAGGGATCAGAAGCAACAGACCACGGCATGATGAAATGAGATTCTGCGGAGCCACGAACCAGCAGAAGAAGGTCTTGAAGACCACATAACAGACACACACTAGATGGTTCAAAGTACGTGAACACCCTTCTATAGTATTGGGTTCAGGCGATCCCTGGGAAGGGTTCTGGTAGAAATACAGAACACAGATATTTCAGACAATTGTGCGGCTCTAACCTTGTGGCAAGAATTTGGGGAAGACCTTTTTCTGGTCCAGCAAGATTGTGTCCCTGTGCAAAAGCCAAGTCCATGAAGACATGGTTGGACCAGTTTGGTGTGAAGAACATTGAGTGGCCTACACAGGACATTGAGAGTCCTGACTGCAACCCTACTGAACACCTTAAACATTGTTAATTGCAGCAACAACTACGAACCAGGTCTTCTCACTCAACATCGCTACCTGACTTCACAAGATGTTCTTTTGGTGGAATGGACACAAATTCCCATAGTAGACGGCCTCTAAAATCTTGAGGTAGACTGGAGGTTGCAAATGAGGGATGATTCCATATTGATGCCCACATTAATGGTAAGTGATACCCACCAAGCTGAAAATAGAACTGATTGTCCGGTTTCCACAAACCTTTGCCCATACAATGTACAAGTAGAAAGTAGGGATACACCAAAATTTCGGCCACCAAAACATAAATCGGCCGAAAATGGCACTTGGGCAAAATACCAAAAGTACACTTCTTTTGCCAAAAATTTGGTGCATCCCAAGTTTCTCTCCTCCATGCTGGGCGCTGGAAGTGCTCTACATCACCTCTACATGTAACTCATACTATATCCACAGTTTCGGAATGGACAGGAGCACTCAGCATAGAAACAGGGGTGTCAAACTCAATTTAATCGTGGGCCGCATCAACGTTATGGTTGCCCTCAAAGGGCCGGTTGCATCTGTAACACTATATAAATGTATCTTACTCTTTATCATAATTGCCTCTGCATTCGAGTATCACTGGTTTTAGTAATAACCTAATACCTAGGTCTGAAAGTAGAAGTCTAGGAAATGGCCTGGTGGGCCGGATTCGGCCCCTGGGCCTCGAGTTTGACACATGTGGCATAGAGGATTCCTGTTAATTCATAACAGGGCTTGCAGAAAAAAAGAGATTGAAGACACAATCTCTTTTTCTATTTCAAAAGGGAAATATCAGGGGTCTGTTTAGACTACCATGATGATAGGGACTGGACAATAGAAGAGTGCACAGTACACAGTGACATAATAGGTACAGAGATTAAGAATATAGAATTTCAGGACACTGGTCACTAAGAAAAGCACCCAAGAGGAATATTTCTTATAAAAACTACTATTTCCCTTCACTACCAGTCCTCATTCCAGTTTCAGTGATCCAGTGATGATGCTTACAGTAAAGCTGGAAAGGTTCAGCCTCATTGCCCTGAACTGATATGAGGCTTGAGTGTCCCATGAATACATTTTTCACCAGTGGTTTCTCCTGCCGCTACTTTTCTTTGTAAACAATTCCCTTTAAGAAGGAAACAACTAAGCGGGGCACATGAAACACTTACTCGCAGATGAAACTTCCTTGTGGAATGTCCTGCAGAGCTCTCACTCCCCAACCCATCTTCGCTGTACGGTATAACTGGAGCCGGACCCTGCAGGAGAGAGAAGTCCCATAAGCTTACTGCAGAGTTACAACTCATCCCCAGCTATTGGTCTAAAATCAGCAAATCTAAAAGAATAAAACACAAGCCGCACAAAACCCTTTTGGACCCAAGATGGAAATACCTCGGTCAGTTTAAGGATTTACACTAACACGGTGTAAACATCATTTCAACAAACTTTGGGTGAACCGAAAGGTTGAATCAAGTCACATATGCCCACACATTTCTATTGGCACATCACAATGACAGGCAGCCTTACTGGCCAATAGGAATGTGTAGAAGGCAATCAGAGGCAGTCAGGCTTTGGCATCGACAGGACGTGTCAGAACTTTATCAAAACAGCCTGAAATTTGGTTTGGGAGGCTGCTGCCCAAATCCAGTACCTCTAGGTGCTTGCTCTTTATGCCTGCAGCAATTTTCCCTGCTACCCACCAATGACAGAGACTCTTTAAACACTAACCCTTAAATCTCCCAAACTTTACCCTTACAGCTAAACCAATAAGGGAAGGCTGTCCTGTAAAAAAGGATGAAGGATGCTACTGATGACTTTTCCTTCTGAAAATGTGGACTGCCTCTCTCCTATGATAAAGCGGTATTCCAGGAACCTGAAAAGTTAACCCTTGCAGTGGGTAACTGTTCCTTTTGTCTAGAAAGCTAAAATGACAAATATATCCTCAATCCCTCCTGGCTGCAGCCTCTTCTCCCCCATGCTCTGCCGGTCTAATATCCCGTGAGTCATCGCATCAAACATAGTGTTATTAGGCGTGAAGATGCCAAGGGACATACCACAGGGGGAGAAGAGGCTGCAGGGATCGTTTTAGCAGCCAGGCGGGGACCAAAGATTGAGTGCTTTTTCTTTATTTATACCCCGAGACAAAATGAGCCGTTAACCTTGCTGTGTAGGGGTAGCCCCACTGCAAGGGTTCACTTTTAAAATTCCTGGACATCTGCTTTAATCTAAGGACTTTAAAACTTCCTGACTTGCTGACCGAACACAAGATGTAGATCAGGAGTTCTGTCATTGTTCTCACTTTATTATCTGTATACTAGTTCCAGGCCAGTGACTGAAAAATCAAATAAAATCATTAAATCAGCAGGACATTCAGGCAACTAGCAACCCTAAACATGAACCCCATTGATACATGATCCTTACACTAGCCTAACCCCTACAGATATGTGTTCCCCCCTCCCGCTTTGTACATTATACTATGATTTGTTAAATCAGTTCAGAACTCGTAATACAACCGGTCCCCCCCACCAATACAGCTCAGAAAGCCGGAAGCATCACGGTCAGAACTGTCCTTTGTACTTACTTAATGCCACTCTGTACCACTCTGTTTTTACATGTTTGCCAGCAGGCACAGGCCTGGTTACATTCAAAGATGAGCGGAGGTTCAATCTTGTTAAATTCCTGAAGGAGACGGCCATCCTGACGATAGGAGGACAAGAATGTTAGTAATAACAATAATGAGAAGTGTAAAGAACCTAAATTATTGATTACAGGAACTAAAAAAGGGACACATCTAAGTGGTGGAATATTCCAAGTTAAATTATGAAAGGAAAAATTATATTGCTATGTGCATCAAATTCTTTTCTCCATATTTACATAGTATTTGAGGATGAATAAAGACACTGGTCCATTGAGTTCAACCTTATGTGTAGGTGTGTGTGGAGTGCGTGCATGCGAGTCCCTGTGTGGTTCTAGGTTTTAAGAGTACCTATACCCCTCTATGTTTGATACATAAGGTCCACTGAATACATACCAACTAAGAAATAATAATTATGACATATTATAAATAATCTCTCACCTTATCATACCAGCAGCGGATGCTCAGTTGTCCACACAGGCAGTTACTAGATGAACAGTCATCCTGGCAGCTGCAGTTCTGTACACAGAGGAAAAAGTCAGTGACAGAGGAAGAAAGCATTATGGTAAAGGAGAGAAATGGAGGACATGCAATACCTGGAGGTGGGTGATATTGCGGTCGATGCTCATGGCTGATGTCTCGCAGTTCTCAGATACATATTTATAGTCCTCTGGAGCGAGCTCCTCATCCACGCAATTCACGCAAGGAATCGGGAAATTTTCATATCCGTGTGCAATATCCCTGTGCGGTAAAGGAAAGGAATAGATGATATCCGCACCACTGCTGCAGTGACCACTCCACAGATCTGGATTTACTCTGCTGAATACACATTCTTCCCGAGCGGTGGGAAAAAAGGTGGCCTTTAGCTTTGCTTCTGCAGTTTGTTCCTGGGAGGTCATGCCAACAACCAAACAAGAAGAAACCGGCAACTCCTTCCTTCTAAAAGCCGGGAATGTGCTTTAAAGAGCTAGCAGGATGGGTGGAAGGGCATGTTATGACATACAGCAATGACTGCTCCATTTTTCTTCACAGAAAAGGGAAGAAAAAGGAAAGTCAAGTCCCCTGTTTACTTCTTAGATTAAGACATTACATCAACAGAATACGATAGATAAGAACTAGGAAGTCCTCCATCCCAGGACACTAAGATAAAACTAGGTATAACACACAAGGGAAGGAGCGATAATCGTTCTGCTTTTTGACTATTGTCCATCCTGCTAGGAGCAAGCCCCCAGCGGCCTGCTGTGCCCCCCTCCCCAATAAACGTTCTGACAAAAGTTGCAAGAAGTAGGTAAACTTAGTGATCACCGTGACCCAGACTAAGCTGCAACATGAATCCGATGCCACCCATTGCCCGCGTACATAAATCCACAACTAGTTACCCCACCCCCATTGCCACTCCGCCAGCGTTGCCAACCCACCTGCTGATAATCCTTTCTGTGCGCACAGCTCTGTTGTGGATCCCTTGCCGGATCTTGCGGTTGAGCTGCAAGGCATACCAGACATCGGTGTGCTCCAGTGTAAGGTCACATGGTGTGTCACCTTCATTGTTACGCACTTCTGTGTCGGCACCACGAGACAGGAAGAGGCTAAAAAGGAAAAAAATATTTTAAAAATGTAAAGAAGGAAAACAGCATGTTTGAAAGGGAAATAGTTTTGAGCCAATTATAGATTTCTCCTACTTTGAAGATCCATAGTGTAACACAAGCAGCGTACTTGCAGCGGTGTATTCGAACATGTGGTTTCCAAATATGTAGCGATAGGAACCTTTGTTCAGAAGCAGGGCTCTTTAGCTAGCACAACTGAGTGTTGGGAAACTTGCTGCACTTTTCTACAACTTCACAAACTGACCATTTTTCTTTTCAACATATTTGTTGTCAAAAGGAGAAGCGAAGCAAGTTTTGTGTACTCACTTGACGCAGTGGATGAAGCCTTCCCGGGATGCAATATGCAAGGGCGTGTCTCCATGGAAGTTAACAGCATGCAAGTCACATTGAGCATTGAGGAGAACCTCGGCGATTTCGGCACTGCCGGTAAAAGATGCCCAGTGCAAGCAGATGTTTTTCTCCTGAGGAAGAGAGATCACACATATTATTAAACGAGCAGTGGCTCCTACTACTCGCCCGGCGCCTGAAACTGCATGTCTCGGGCGTCGGGGATTCGCTCCATAAGACGCAGGCACATTTTTCCCCTCCTTTTGGGGGGAAAAAAAGTGCGTCTTATGGAGCGAAAAAAATACGGTATATACACACACACACACACAGAAAAGATAGATAGATATAGATATACACACACAGTTACTGTATAAATCAGGAATGAGCCCATATTTTTCCCCATTTTTCTGCCACAATGCTCTTCATTTGCATCTCCTTCATTCCCATCACAATAACCCTCAGAGACTGTCTGTTCGTCACGTACAATGTCCTTTCCAAAACAACACTGGAGTCCATAGCAGCAGACACCTCCAGTCTATTAGTACAATCCCCATGCACCCTCTAGTGTCCATTCCTGAAACCAGAGAGATAACCATTTCCTGGAGGTCTGTGCCGCACACTATTTTCAAAGCTTTCTATGTACCGCCTTCAGTTTTTGTGCCTTAGGTCTGGGTAAATGGTACATCTGCTTAATCTTACAGCAGATCTTTTTATTACACAGAAAACTATTGTTCATTTAAGAACTATGAATTTGACAAAAAAGAAACAAAGCATGGACGCTAACAGAAAGGTATATACTCACATTGTCCTGCAAGGTAACATCTGCTCCCCGTGTCAGCAACATACTGATGATTTCGATATGTTTGTGTTCTGCTGCCCAGATGATAGGTGTCCAACCACCATTATCCTAAACAGAGCACATATAAGTAACTAGAAAGATGTAGAGCTGCAGCTAACGATTATTTTCAAAATCGATTAGTTATGCGATTATTAAGTTCGATTAATCGGTTAAACAATAAAATAAATTTTTTAAAATGGCTCCAGTGATGGACTACTAGTTTGTATTGAGATTGTAGTCCATCACAGGAGCAAGCTTGGAGCGGTGGAAATAAGAAAAAAAAAGTGTGGTGTGCAATATAGTGAAAGTGTAAAATTATACAGCAATGAATGCAGAATGGCATCGGCTATAGAGGACTACAAATCCCAGCAATACATTATACAGTGCAATGCGGAATACCACAAGCTATAGAGGAGTACAACAAATCCCAGCAATAATACATTATACAGTGCAATGCCGAATACCACCAGCTATAGAGGACTATAACAAATTTCAGCAATAGTACATTATAGCTGGCGGTATTCGGCATTGCGCTGTATAATGTACTGTTGGTGGGTTTTGTAGTCCTCTATAGCTAGTGGTATTCAGCATTGCGCTGTATAATGTATTATTGCTGGGATTTGTTGTACTCCTCTATAGCTGGTGGTATTCCGCATTGCACTGTATAATGTATTATTGCTGGGATTTGTAGTCCTCTATACAGCGCAGTGCAGAATATCACCAACTATAGAGGAGTACAACAAATCCCAGCAATACATTATACATACAGTGTATAATGTATTGCTGGGATTTGTAGTCCTCTATAGCTGATGGTACATATACAGCACAATGTACCATCAGCTATAGAGTAATACAAATCCCACTATCCAAGCAATACATTATAGAGCACCATGTGTGGGAAAGTGCAGGCTTACCTGAGCAGTCTACCAGCAACTTGCTTCTGAGATCAGGCCTGTCTATCGGCAGCTGTCATCCCCCCACACCTGCTCCTCCTTACTACATCTCCCCGCGTCCCTGTGCCGATCGTGAATGTGGGCGGTGAGTGTGAGGTGGGGAGGAGGTGCGGCGTGTAGAGCGTGGATGCGTGCGTGCGGGCGGGCGGGCCTGGCAGCGGCGAGTGTGAGGGGAGGAGGTGCGACGTGCAGCATGTGGGAAGCCGTGAACAGGGCCAACTGATCTGAAGCCGATTAATCGATTATTGAAAAAGTTGACAACTTTTTCAATAATCGATTATAATCGATTATGTCGATTAGTTGTTGCAGCCCTAGAAAGATGTTGGGGAGGTCTATGAAAGCCGAAGGTTTCAAAAGCTGTGTTCTCACCTGAGCATTCACATTAACTTGGCCTGTGGACAGAAGGAAGCTCAACAATTCCCGATTACCACTCTTGGCTGCGTGATGAAGACTGGTAGAGCCATCTTCTTCCTAAAAGAGGTCGATAGGTTAAGATGCAACAGCTAATATACACATATAGGAGGACCTTATCTGGCCAAAGATTTGCGAAACGAATGCACATTCTTTTGTGATCACCCCATGTCTGACGTGCTATATAGTCATGTGAAAAAGTAAGTACACCCCACAGAAACGGTTGACTTTTTCAACATATTTGAACTGGCAAACATTAGATCTTCATTCAGATAATGCCTACAGATGAAACAATCCATAAAACTGACATGATCTATGCATTCCCAACCTAAATTAAATGAAAATGCTGGTTTGACACATGGAAAAAGTAAGTACACCCCCTACATTCTCCACCATTTTAAATCCATAAAAATTAGAATTAGGTTTTCCAGATTAGGTGCCAACGGTTAGAATCTCCTTGTGGAGTATGCAGATAGAACTTGTTTTATTTACATCTCAGATATCTTGAGTCTTCTCTAAGCTATTGACGTGTGTGGTGTCATCATACCAAGATCAAAAGAGCTAAGTAAATTGTGGATACCTCTACCAAAGTGGTAGAGATGAGGCTGAGCTTAGTGCGAACTCAGTTTGCCCAAGCCTGCTCAAAACTTTGACCTTCACCACCTCCCCAGGGCCCAATCTGTGGCAGAAGTTGTGGTAGGCGTGTTCCTTGCCCTTTGTGACGTATAGCTGAGGAGGGGGGAAAATGCGCCTCCTGGCAACTAATTGGGTTGTGAGGAGGGGTTGGTGGTTTGGAGGTTTGAGTGGGCTTGGGAAAACTGAGTTCACACCAAGCTCAGCCTCATCTCTACCACTTGGCTGAGTTTGCTGGGCTGGTCATCCTCATAGTTCGAGCCGACGTGTGACAATGAAACTGTCACACGTCGGCTCAATAGATAGGGAAGTGAGCGGACACATACCGACGCTCGCCCACTTCTCGATCATCTCATGTCAAGTCACGGCTCCCCGCTCCGATGCCCCAGCGCTGAGTGGAGGAACGGATGGGGAGGGGGCGGGCACAGCTGGCTCTGCCTCTAGATAGGCAGAGCCAGCTGTCACTCACGCAGCTGGATCTCGACAGTAATGTCGGTATCCGTCCTGGCTGCGGCGGTCTCAGTATACCACGAGCTGTAGCTCGCGATATACTGAGCTTTGGGTCACGGGAGGACACTAGTATATGTCCTCACGTGACCCTTAAGAGAACTATGGGGAAAAACACTTACCCCATAGTTACATAGTTAGTCAGGTTGAAAAAAAACACACGTCCATAGAGTTCAACATAAACTGCTCTCTTTTAACGTAAACCTAAAAGTTCTCTTTTAACGGTCATTTTGAAATCTGAGTTTGAACCATTTCATGCCAAAATAACAATGAAGATCAGGAAAAGTCACCAGCACTCCAATAGTGATCCAAGCATATCTTTTATGTTCACATGATCACAAAGCATCACATTGTTTGCCTGATGAAGGGACCCTATGCAGCCCTGAAAGGTTGTTTGCTTTGTGATCACGTGCCAATAAAAAGATGTGCTTGCATCTCTATTGGAGGGCCGGTGACTTTTCCTGATCTTCATTGTCTGCAAACGCACCACCAACTGCTTGCCACTGCTGCACTCACCACTACGGTCAGGAGTGTAAAAGGGACTCTCACAATACCATGATAAAAGAAGTCTCTAAAAAAAATTCCACTGCGGTATCTGAAGGACAGCACAGGATATCATCAGCTCAAATGATTTCTGGCAGGATCAACAAGTAGTTTTAGCACTTGTCAAACAGCTATCTCAAAACATATTCAATGGTATACGAAATAAACCAAAAGGGACCAAATAAGAGAAATTAATTATTAGGGTTTACATACATTTTAAATTGTCATATTTTTAAGTTGTAACTGTAGATAACGGCCGCACTCCTTACCAAATGCCCCTTGTGGTGAAAGGTGGGTGCTGAAGTGACTGGATGGCGCTGCGCAGCACAGTGTACATCAGAAATGTCACCAGCACACCAATGGTTGATGTCCAAAATAAAAGCGTTGTTTATTCACACATATTGTCACATCGAAAATGCAACATTTCGGGGCCATGCATGTTAATGGAGAACTATGAGGCGAGTGAAAATCACTCATCGTCATAGTTCGAGTCGACGTGTGACAATGAAACTGTCACAGGTCGGTTCTATAGATCGGGAAGTCAGTGAACACATACTGTTGCTCGATCACCTCCCTGCAGAGTGGTGACTGAGTGACGGCTCCCTGCAGGGATTTCCCCCCCAGTGCTGACTGGAGGAACGGACAGGGAGGGTGCGGGCACAGCTGGCTCTGCCTCTAGATTGACAGCGGGCTCTGCCTCTCACACAGCTGGGTGGATCTTGACAGTAATGTCAGGATCCGTCCCGGCTGCGGCGGTCTCAGTATACCGTGAGCTGTAGCTCGCGATATATTGAGCTTTGGGTCACGGGACGAGGTTAGTATATGTCCTCCCGTGACCCTTAAGAGAACTATAGGGAAAACACTGACCCCATAGTTCTCTTTTAAGCCTGAAGGGGACCCTGCGCGGCACCGAAACGTTGCATTTATGATGTGACAATATGCGTGAATAAACAGTGCTTTATTTTGGACATCATCCATTGGAGTGCTGGTGACATGTCTGATGTACATATTTTTAAATTGTTCTTGAACGGTTTCCATCCAGATACCACTGATTATACAGCGAGCTAGGAGTGAGACTAGGAAACAGGTCTAGTGCAAGGAGGGAAAAGGATAAGATTGATCGCGGTGAGACATTACCTTGTGGTAAACACATCCTCCAGCCTGAGACAGATATTTGGCAAGCTCAGTATGATTGTTCACGATGGCTTCAAGAAGAGGGGTGCGCAGGACTTTGTCCGTGGCATTTATGTTGGCACCAGCCTGGCAGGAGAGCAGAGCGTATGTAAGACATATGATGAAAATGGGGCAAAGCATATATGACTGTCAGAAAAGACGGTTGAAGAAAGTCACCTGAATAAGAACATGACAGAGCTCCATACTACCCCGCTGTGCTGCAGCGTGCAGAGGGCTCCTCTTCAACTGCTGGTCATTCAGGAAACTGGAATCTTGGTTATCCACTGAAAGAAAACATGAAGGAAAGGGGAGTTAGGACAAAACAATTAATTTTTTTTTACATTTCCCCCCCCCCATTTTTTTGCACCCGTGTTATAATCCACATTTTAGGTCTGAAAATTACTTCAAACCCCCAAACGTGATATATTTTCTAAAAGCCAAGATCCTGTGGAATAAAATGGCGACAGTTGCAAATTTTTATGTTGCACGATGCAACTTCTTATCAAACCCAAACATTTAGTGAAAAATGCACTTAAGTTAAATTTAGTGCCCCAAAACACAATAAAATACCCATGTTTTATAACATATAAAAGATGAGGTTACAACGAGTAAATAGATACCCAACATGCCCAGGTAAAAAATGGTGTGCATTAGTATTCCTGGAGGGTTCGGGGAGTGCAGAGGCCCGCGGTACTGTGCCCCTGGGAGTGGCGTCTCAGGGTGTGCCGGATAATCACTTGATTCACCAGCACTTGGTCACGGCACTCAAGCTTTTTTCTGCACAACGCCTCTTGGGCAGGCCTTCTGGCTAGCCTGGGGCACTGGCACTTATTTATTTTATTAACCCGGAGTTCAGCTTAAAACCAGTAACATCACCAACCGGGAAGCAGAGAAGATCACCAACAGACACAGAGGAGAATGTATCAAAACTGGAGCAGACAAAATCTGGAGCTGCTGTGCATTGCGACCAATCAGCTTCTCTCTTTCATTTTTTTCAACAAACTGAAGAGGGAAGCTGATTGGATGCCCTGGGAAACTGCTCCAGATTTTGATAAATTCCCCTCACAGAATTTTCCTTAACAGCAATGCACAGACGTGTGTTAGGTGCTACCAGCTGCCTCTTAATTCAGCTGTAGGGGACACCTTCATTACAGGTTTATGGGAATGTAAGGAGACCCAAAATACTTTGAGAAAATGTCATCAATGGAGTGTTTGGATGGCAGAAACCGGCAGAAGATTCAAACCACCCAAAACAAATATCAGAAAGGAGCTGTTCTATAGTGAAAACAATTATTGTCCCCCCACTTTATAGAAGCCCCTTAGAGTATAAATCATGGGAAGATACACATTGGGCTTTGCATGTCAAACACTGAAGAAAGACATCTCAAATATGTAGTTTTAGTTACTCACTTAGCATAAGCAGCACTTTCTGGAGCTCACCAGCTTTCACACTCAGGTAGAGCTGCCGAGAGTTGTAGCGGATCTTCTTCCTGCGATCTCTCTTCTGCTGAGCTAAACTGTAGAGACAAGGCTGTTACTCTCCCCATCAGGCACACAGACAAATGCAAGTAAGTAAAACTGGAAAAAGGAATGAAAAGTGTGGAAATTAGGAAACAGAACTAGAGAAATTAATGAAAGGAGAAGAGACTACAAACACAAACAGGCTCATCTCATACTTGTCTGTCTCCTGGGATGCCAAGGCTTTTTGCAGGGCGTCATATGCAGGACCAGGCGGCAAACCTGTGGCGCTGAGAGTCACTCCTGATGGAAGGACGATAGAAGGCCCTGGATTCTCCCCATTGATCATAGCATGGTCCTCTACAATTGAACGTTTGCCATCCCCCATGCCACTCATACGGGCGCTAAAAGAAGAAAGTCTGTCAAAGCAGGACTCATTTCAAAGCTTAAGTGGTTTTAAAATGCATGTATAGATACAAATTGATTTCAGGTTTTTCAGTGCCATTGGAGATTTCCAGATTTATGGACCCTTTCATTTACACTCTATTCTTCTGAAAGTTGAAATGTTTAGTCACAAATTTCACATTATTTGTATTCTCTGCATAAAATCCTTGTGTTTTTTCATACATTTAATGCAGGGTTTTCGTGAGCATTGCATGCTGGACTGTCTAATAAAAAAGCCCAGAACTAGCTCTGCAATTGCTGAATAAAGATCTACACACCACCATGTCTTCTAGGAGTGGAAGATTCAGCATTCTGCATTCAACCACCTATCTGAAAACTTGGATCACATTTGTCACCTACTGGCAACAGAAGGGTAAATATTAATATGCACTTTTACTGTAATAAAAATTGAAAAAAATATATAAAAATAAAATGTAGGTTTTTTTTTATTTAGGTGTATAGAAAACAATATACACTCCTTTTGGAAAGACCTCCCTTGGAATTTGCCCCCCTCTAGCTCCCAATCAGTAAACTACTTTGGGAACAGTAACAACAAATCTTATTGGTGTCAAGTGATGTCATTGGGAGTCAGAGCGGCAGATTCTGTCTAAGGTTTCCCATTGAAATATTTCACTCTGTGATGAGATGCAATATGAATTACACACCAGAGACCCTACTGAAACTAACTTCTATTTGTGCACGGCGCACAACAGTGTTAGCCTTTTCAGAGCTACATCAGCATCTGAGACTCCTGGCTGTGTTGGATGCTCGCTTTTCCCCACAGCGTACTCTGGCTCCCTCTAATTAGTTTGCCCCTGCTGTTCTAAACACACGAGGGATGTAGCGACCGGTCAGCAGAACCACAGTGCGCATAGTGGAGACACACTTTGGAAGTGGGATGGTGAAGTGTCGAGTGGAGAATTCTGAATGTAGGTTTACAGGCTGACTTAACTGAACAATTGAATGGCAGCTACATTTACTTGCAAGAAGATTCCAGTGAGAATATAGAAGCAGAGAAATCCATCCTCACCTGGGCTGTGTAGTGTCAGCCCTTCCAGGGGCACCGCCATCGGGCGGTGGTGGTGCAGGTACCAGAAGCGGTGTGTCCGCCTTTGCTATGGTAATTTGTTCCGCTTCTGTGGCATCTTCTCCACAGTGTGGGCAAAAGATAACTCCATTCAAAGGAGAGACACAGGCCCTGTGAAAGCGATGATTTATCCTGAAATCAGGATGGCACTCCAAGAACGTTCCCTGCAGGAGATAAAGATGTGAGGATATGTTCTAAATTAAAAGACAAAACTGACAAGAGGCGGCTGCATATCACTAGGTACTTACACTGGTGCAGAAATAGCCACAGCCTGGGCAGCAGTGATGTTTGACCATGCGGGCACGGTGGTTCTCACAGAGCACCATAAGAGGGACCCTACTTGATGGACGCATCGTCTCCCGCTTAGTAATGGGAGCATTGCAACCGCTCAGCTAGAGAGAAGAAAACGGAGAACAAGAGATCATTTTGCTGATAAATTCCTCTACTGTGAAGAAAGCCATGCATTCAGCATTGCCCCACTTACCCTCTTCAGGTACACAATACAGATGGCCTTACCTCTCCATCTACACTCTCAGTAGCCATACACATATTATTGGCTTGCTCGCACACCCTCTCCACACTGGGAGCTTCCATACGGCAGCTGCACAAAGGCAGTTCCTCAAAACGCTCGGTGTCCATGGAGCTCGATTCATTACACACACCTGAGAGAAGACACCAGGGTCAGCTAAGGGCGTATAGAACCATGCAAGGCAAAATGAAAAAATTGCAGCAACAGCCACCGGATCAGTGAGAAGGAAATTCCAGGGATTGATGCAAGCTTTGGGGCAAGGTGGGGGGATATAAGTGAAGATGTAGCACGGACATGCACAGCAGCAAGTGAATGTTAGGTGACTTGGTAAAAGATTTACCTGTGTGGTTGGGAGACAAAGCCCCCTCGCTGGGCAGATCCAAGGATCCCAGAGGCACCTCTGTGTACTCACTTTGTGATCCCCCCACGGAAGGGACAGCTAAAAGAGCGGGGCAACAAGTAGGGCAGTAGATCTGTGACTAGGATGGAAACAACGGGTTTTGCCTACTGCCCTCAATATCCTGCTCCCACCCCCTCAACCCAATTTAAAAAGGCCCTTCACCCTGCTGCAGGTCCTCTTGAAAGCCAACTTAAATCTTGAAACTGTGACCCAAGTCATTCTTGGCACTTATTCCCATAGCACTCAGAAACTGCCTTTCTGTTCTGTAACAGCATGTCTCAGTTGACCGGCAGCTTAGCCAGCCAATCACATAACAGATCTAAGGCATGGTGATGGCCGTTAATGACAGCCTTGCAAATGTTTCAAGAGACAAATATGGAGCGAGAAAAGAATTCTGCAGCCTGGTCGAGAACCATAAAAAGTACCAAAACCAGTATTTCTGTACTTCTGCTGACACTTCCTTTCCACACACAGAAACACTAGGAAGTTGTAAACCTTCTTTACATTAGTCTCTTCCTGTTTAACAATCTGCTGTATTCGGCCCCCTCGGCTTAACAAAGAACTCCGTTACTTTTGCAAATTGTTAAGAATCGCTTCTAGCGGTTTGAAATCTCAACTTGTTTTTATTTACTTGTGTAAAACTTAAAGCTGAACTCCGAGCAAGAACAAAATAAACTCCATTTAATCATGTTATGTGTTAAATAAATTACTAAATGTATTCTTACTAAGAACCCTGCGCAAGTGATTGTCTCGTCTATGGACCAGACTCATTAACGGCCCAGTCACACCATCAAGATTGTGTTCGGCCTCTGGAACATATCCCGGCCGGCTCAGTTTTTTTGGGGGCTCTGAACTCAATAGCACCACGGCCACGCCCCCCGCCCGCAGTGTGATCGCCGGCACCCATATTAGTGCCTGCTTTTCGGTCCAGTGCAATCTGCAAAAAATAGTGTTTGCAGCATTTTTTGCAGATTGCACTGGACCGGAACGCAGGCACTAATGTGCCATGCGTTCGGGTGTTGGCGATCACACCGCAGGTAGGAGGCGTGGCTGTGGAGCCATGGAGTTCAATGCACCACCACGCCCCCAAAATAACCAAGCTGGCCGGGTTGTGTTTCAGTGCGTTCCAGAGGCCGAATGCACTGGAACACACTCTTGATGATGACTGGGCCCTTAGTGAAGATTTAGCTGGGCTGCTTATTGTTCTCTTTGCTGGAGATGAAACTGTACCTGAGGACTTGCTTCTGGTTGATTCATGCTGTGGATATGTGCTTTCACCATGCTGATTTATGATCATTATCCCACTGGTGATTATGAGAGCAGCTCGCACATAAGGAAGCAAGGCCATGCCTCTAACAATATTGCAACTTTCACAAGTGGTACAAGACATAACAGTTCAATACTAGGGAAAACATCAGCTGGAGGGAGACTGCAGGCAATACCAGTGAATAGCCTTCTGCATGCCTTTTTTAACCGCTTCCACCATTCCACCTCTTTAGCAACCCAAACTCCCCACATCCACCCTGCTATCCCCAGCACAGCCACACTTTGAGCCAACCAAGGCGCTATAGGTTTGTGCAGAGCCATCAACCACAGTAAAAACATGCTTCCAAATGACTAGAGCAAAGTGATGATCCAATCACTATGCTGTGGCACCTTCACTGTCCAAACAGTAGTCTGGGAAGGTTTCAGATCTGATGTTAAATGTGAAACAGCAGTGTAGACTGCAGGGAGGTCCAGGAAGCACTGACTGCCAGGAATGCCTGAACCACAAATTTGGGTGAATAGACCTTTCAAAGCATATATATTCCAAACATGTATTTTGCAGTTTGCCTGGAGTTCAGCTTTAAAAAATAAAAATTAGAACCACTGCATGTGAACAAGTTAGTAACATAGACGGCACCCCTTTTTCTTAACTCACAAATAAAAAAAAGGATACCTGTCCTGCTGGGAGTGCTTGGAGGACTGAAGTCTGGCCACAAAATATAAAGTTCACATTACAGAAAAATATGCATTTTAAAGCTGTATCTCAATTTCAAATGCAACCACTAGGTGCCACAACAGATCAGTTCTGCCAATCTCAGTCCTAAGAAGTGTGGGGGCTGTAGAGAAGGTCTCCTCTTTGTATTACTAATAGTCTCCCTCAAAGCTTCTTTAATAAAAGATATGAAACTAAACCCACCTGACCAGTTTTTCCCATTCCCCCTTCCATCCAGGCTCTGCCCTTCCTCACCTGTGCCAGGTTTCTCTCGGTCCCTCCTCTTCCTTTTCCTCGTTGGTTTGAGCCAAGCCTTGTCCATCTTCCATTTTTTCTTACTTTTCTTTTTCAGACTGCTCGAACTCTGAGCAGAAAGGAACAGAGTGGAGTTAAAATCGGCATGGGACTACGTAGGTACAGATGTCACAGGCTGAAGCAGAAATATCACATCACCACTTACTCTCTCTGATTGGTTACCAGAACCGTCCTCTTCTTCCTCCTCCTCTTCTTCCTGCAGACAGTGAGAAGAGTCAGTTTGCAGCTAAAAATGTCTGTTTCGCCTGCTACTTCCTGCTAAACGTCCTCACCTTGCTGTCACTGTCCCCTTGTTCCTCTAAGGACAGACTGTCATAATACAGGCTGAACTCTGCTCCGACGTCTGGCTCCCAGTCTTCAGCTCCATCTTGGTCCCGGGATGATCCTGGAGCTGTTGAAGGTTCCTAAATAAACTAAAAGTAAAAAAAAAAAAAAAAAAAGATAATTTGAAGAGGAAGGGACTCGGAAGCTGGACCCAAAAAAGGCAGGCAGAGGGCAAATTACTTGAGACCAGTATTGTTTGCTATCTCCCTTCAGCTAATCTTTCCTTATTAATGACTCTTCATGCCTGTTCTGCACTGTGTCTCCGATGATAGAGGTAGTGCTTTTATTCCCTCATGTCAAAGCGAACAGCAAGGAAACGGTAAGACGGTAATGACATCACCAAACCTCAGTCTATGAGACTAGCAGTCAGATGCAGCAGTGCCTTGGATCTCACACTGCAGATATAGAGTTATGATGCTTTAGGTACAGGAGTGCCTAGGCACGCTGACAAATCAGGAAGTGCATTGCTATTTTCCACTTGGGTACTGCTTAGGCACTAGTAACATTTCTACATTTTCCCTATAAACATAGTAAATCTTCGTTTTAATCAGAACGTAAGAATGTCAGCACGAAATCCAAAATGTTTTTTTTCGAACTTTATTTTTTTTTTAAATATTTTATTTTTTATAAACTTTTAATTTTTTTATATTTTATTTATTTTAATTTTTATACTTTACTTTCAGGGGCTTTGGGGAAATATTGGGGTCTAAACAGACCTCTGATATTCACCTTTTAAAATAGAAAAAGAGATTGAGAACACAAAGTCCTCAATCTCCTTTTCTGCAGCCCATGTTATCAATGAGCAGGAATCCTCTATACCGAGTGTTCCTGTTCATTGATAACATGAGGACAGAGTAGGTTTACTATATCCACAATCATGGACGAACAGGAGGTGATGTAGATAACTTCTCATTCATTCATCATTGGGTATATAGTAAACATACTCTGTCCTCAATTATTTACAAACACTCAGCGATCACTAATCACTCACTGCTTGTACCCGCTCTCCATCCTGACTCACTGTCACAGGAGGCTGAGCAAGTGGTGTGGGGAAGAGAGCTCGTTCACTTGTGACAGCTGACTCCTCCCCACACCGCCAGTCCTGCCTCCTGTGACAGCTGTCTCCTCCCCCACACCGCTCTTCTGATCTGTCACAGGAGTCTAAGCGGGGCCGGTGCGGAAGGAGAGCTCGGCCTCCTGTGACAGTAATGGCTGTCTCAGCCCCCACACCGCTGCTCTCCTAATCTGTCACAGGAGGCTGAGCGGGGAGGAGAGACGCTGGCCGCTCACAGCGCTCTCCTCCCCCGCACCGCTCGGCCTCCTGTGACAGTTTCTCTCCTCCCCGCTGGGACACAGAGCAGTGCCCAGTGAAGAGGAGAGAAAGCAGGGATGCACCGCTATTTCGTCCGAAAGATGGAACTTTCTGCATTTTGTCAAAACTGCCATTTTCGGCCGATATGTTTCGGCAGCTAAAAATTTTGTGCATCCATAATAAAAATAATAGAAACGAAACAAAACTTCAACCAAGAAAGGGTGCTTGAGGTGAACACGATGTCTGGATCTAAAAAGACAAAACAGATCCACTAGTGGAGCTCAAAGTTCTTTTACAGGTTGTTTTTTTATTGCCGTCATAGGAAGTAAATTGTGGTCTGGACAAACACTAAAGACCTATGATCACTTCAGTGGGGAGGCAAACACCAATAAAAGCACTTAGAGTGAGGAAGGGTTAGACCGGTGGTCGGGAATCAGCTGCTACCTGTGCCCACATTGGGGGAAATTACATTTAATTTTCTTCTGACTGTAGCCCACAGGAGAGAAACCAGTAAAAATCTCTCCAAGACAAAATCACAAAATGGACAGACAGGCTTACAGAGGTGTCAGCTAGGAGCATGTAACCCTAAGTGCCTGTTCACACGACGTCCGTTTTGTGTGCTGACCTGATCCGTACGCTCCTGCACTCAAAATGCATCCCAATGTATCCCTATGTGTTTTATGGGCTACAGTTCTCACGTGTGCAGTCCGTTCAGGTTTACGACAGAAAAATACTGCATGTCACATTTTGTACGGTCAGGAAACGCAAACGTGTCAAAAACGCGTTGCACTGCCGCCAACATACTAACAGCCCCACTCCAGCAAAAAATATATATATTTTTTTAATGGAACGCATCAAAAACGCGGCCAAAACGGACTGCATCAGTAGCATCGCGTCGGCAGATCCGGACCTGATCAGGACCTGAAACTCATGTGAACAGGCCCTAAATGACATACGGACCAAATGATAGTAATTGTAATCATATAAACAATGAAATCTTTCTGTGTGATGATCACATGTATGTGAAGCATTGTTGCTGAACTGCAACAGTCCAGGGAGATATTCCACAGACATCCTGACACATTGTTACAGGACAATTATCACAACTCAGAAATTCTCACCTCGGCTTCCTTAGATTTATTGGCTGGAGTATCAGAGCTCTGAGTAGAGGTGGTCCTCTTCTGTGTAGAATCTGAGGAGAAAATAAAAAGCAAAAATAGAACCGTATCACTACCATATAGGACTCTCCTGATCTCCCATTTCTGTTAAACTGCTCCCACATACCTGGGCTCTCCCTCCTCTCCACCTCAGAGTCTTTCTTCTGGGCCTGCTTCTCTCCATCGGCCAAATGCCTTCCATCCCCCAGCACCTGAAACAAAGGTATGCGGCTTTATACAAGGACAAAAGTGTGTGAGCTTTACCCTAAGCAGAAATCCAAGCAAACAGCTAAACACTCAACTTGAAGTATGTAAACAGTTTTATCTGCCTGTCAAAAGACTTGTAGTTTTGTTCAGGAACTCTTCATTTATACATCTCTGTCACATGACACAGCTAGGCTGATGTCATCACTATTTTCTGCAGTAGTTTTACAGCCTTCTGTATTTTTATTTTATTACAGATATTTATATAGTGCAGACAATTTACGCAGCGCTTTACATTCATATCAGTCCCTGCTCTCAAGGAGCTTACAATCTAAAGTTCCTATCTCACATGCATACATACTAGAGTCAATTTAGACAGGAGCCAATTAACCTTCCCTGGAGGAAACCCACGCAAGCACAGGGAGAAGATGTAAACTCCATGCAGATAGTGTCCTGACCAGGATTTGAACCAGAGACCCCTAGTGCTGAAAGGGAGAAGTGTTAACTACTAAGCCACTGTGCAGCCCACTACTAGACCGGTTATGTATAATTATAAATATGGTGGTAGCTAAAATTGTTCCCTCACACATTGTAAATCTGTAGTCAGTTGGGATGCACAGATACCGATACTTTCTACCTTCCCAGATATCGGAACTTCCAGTCTGAAGGAGATTTCATCTGACCAGCAGTGCCGCGAGGGAACATGGAGGTGGTTTCCCAGCCAATCAGGAAACCAGGCTGCAGATAATGACTAGTCGCCCAGCTTCCCGATTGCTCGGGAAGCTGGCTCTATGCCGATTGGCCAGGAACCTGACTTCCCAGCCAATCAGCATCGAGCCGGCCAAACAGCATGGTGCTGGCTTCCCGTATAATCAGGAAGGCGGGAGGTGGGTAATGATTGGCCAATCAGCATCGATTTGGCCAAACAGCATGAAGCCGGCTTCCTGGTCAACCAAAAAGCCGGGCAATTGGCCAGGAAGCCGGCTCCATGCTGATTGGCTGGGAAGCCGGCTTCTAGGCCAATCAGCATTAAGCCAGCCAAGCAGCATGGAGCCAGCTTCCTGATTACCAGCAAGCCGCCTCCATGCTAGCGGAAGTAACGATATCTGTACTCGGTATCGGCGAGTACCGAAATATAAATATCAGTACTCAAACTCAATACCGAAAAACCCGTATCGGTGCATCCCAAGTATTTAGCCATTTGCTTGAACCACCTCAATATAAGTGTGTTCTAGCACTATCCTTTCCAGGCCATTTTTCAGTGCAGTGATATTTGACAATTACCGAGTCATGCAACACTGTACCAAAAAAATTTTATACCATTTTTTGAGACCGATGGAACTCTTTTGGTGATACTTAACACACACACACACACACAGACACACACACTAAAAAAAAAAAAAAAAAACAACAACTCTCTTTAATGCCGTCTTAAAACATTTCAAATACAAATTCCAGGACAGTAAAAAATGCACCCAAAATGAGCCCTTTCTTGAAATCAGACATCGCAAGGTGATCTTAATATTTTGCCCAAATGTTTTGCAAACGAAGAAACGAGCTGGTACTGAGGGGCTTAAACCGAAGCTCTCAAAGTTGACATAAGAAATGTGACAAATGCTATATTTTGCCCCCATTTACACTTTAAAAAGATAATTGATGATGGTTTACGCTTACTTTTATTTTGTAGCTTTTGCTTAGAAATTTATTACCGAATGTTATATATCTTTTATGTATAAGATTAAAATGTTCACATAAAGAGACTGCCAGTTTGACTCTTCAGGGCAGCCCCTCCACCCTCCTCGCAAGCGCTCCCTTCTGCTGACGAAGCTGGCAACAATAGGAGGAGCATGTGACTACCTTCACTATGCCAGTGTGTGGGTCAAGCAGCCAATTGCTATGTCTGAGCACTGTCACATGACAGAAGGAGTCATGTTACAGCTCCCCAAAACCTCTGAGCTTCAGATTTTAGTGCCGACTGCAGCAGAGGAAAGAGTGGGAGATGCCAAGAAGGCAAGTATCAATGGGTGGGGGGGAGAGAATTCATAAAGCAATAGCTGCTCTGTTGTATTTCCTGACACACTCACATTGCCTGCCCGTGGCATGGTCTTTCTGGCGCGGTGCACTTTGTCCATTCCCTCCCTGTTCATATTCAGCAATCTCATGGCCAGGCTCTGTTGTGTGTGTGGCATCTTAGCAGCTCCGGTCAGGGACATTTTGGCCCTGCTGGAGATTGGTGAAGAGGTCAAGGAAGGCGGTGCTGGGAGAGACTTGGAAGCATGGCCTGAAGGGAAGACAAAAAAAAACATTTCTTAGCCAGCGAACACATATAAACATATACTGCTTATAGCCTGTTTTTTCATATCCATGACTGGTGTTAGATAACAGGTGTAATGACTGGAAGACATTTTTCTGCTTCTCTGTCTGACATGCTTTTCCTTAAACTGCTGTGTTTGACCAGTTGTTGCCACCGAATGGCAATCCCCTCCACTACTTTCTTTCTGTTGGCAGCCAAAATAACCATAGCTAGGGCTTGGAAAACACCAACAATTCCATTCCACTTGGTCAAACAAAAAATGTCGTGGATTATGGTCCATGAGAAACTTCACAGCATCCTCCAAGATAATAAAAAAAGTTTTGAATTGACCTGGACCCCCTGGTTGTTATATACAGGGGTGCTGGAAACCGGGTAATTTTCATTGTACAACTTTTCTGGAATTTTTCTCTGGGGACTATGTTTAAGGTTTAAGTAGATGTTGGGCTATTTGGTCGGGGATGGAGCTACTCTTTTCGGACTCTTAAGCGGTTCTGCTTCCTATAGTATCTATTTCCTTTTCCTCTTTTTGTCTGTTTTTTTTTTTTTCCTTTATGCTCGCACATGTGAGTTGTTTAGTACATAGATGCTGGACAGAAAGTCTATCGATATAGATATGGAGGAGATCATAACAAATGTTTGCTTCAGACATAGGCGGATCCCTAGGTCAGATATTCCTCTCAGACTGTTCTGATTTTTGATTTTAGTGATGGGGGATAAATTGGCAAGAATAGGTGGATAGATATGTTCTGTTGTACAGAACTATTATATATTGTGTGTATGGCTTCTAGTGATCCCCTCCTACTACTTGATTATGCTAATGTGGAAGAAACTGTAATGCAATTGTATGCTATACTGATTGTGCATCATGTGCTGTTTTATTGAACTTTGGAAAATTAATAAAATACTTTGAAAGTTAAAATCCCCTCCACTATCTGTCAGAAATAAAATGTGTTAGCTGGAAGGACACTTCAAAGAGCTACCACCCATTTCAGACTACCACTAATAGAAGACTGGCTGAACATAAAATGTCCAAACTATTCTTACTTCCAAGGGGGAGTGTGGATGCCAGCCACTAATCCAACAGATATGGATTTAACTATTTTATAATCAAGATTTCAAGCTGAAAATTACAATTCTTCTGCTATACTTAAAAGCTGAACTCTGGAAAAAAAAAACAAGAAATGCCCTTGTAGTGCCCCCACCCCCAAAGCCAGCAAGGGTAAAATGCTTGTTTATGCCAAGGGGACCAGGAAAAGGCACTTTTACTTATCAGATACCTCGCTCCTCCGGCAGGTGCAGCTCAAATGTTTTCCCTGATGCTCTGGCTTGTGGATGGTCGCTCGGTGTCCTCATGGACAATGCAGGGCTATTGGCCCTGCGTTATACCGGATGACATTACCAGGTTACAGTCCATGTACCCATTGCACTCCTGACCGCTCGTCCATCAAAGTAACATGGGTGCTCGGTATTAGACGAATGGCCACCGTCACAGCCGGTGTCCATACTCTTTTATACTTGATGACATCACACTGCCTGTCTGCGACTGCCTGAGTATAAGGGAGAAGAGGTTGCAGGACCCATCCTTGCAGCGTGAAGGGAGCATGCAGGGGATGAGGTAAATACAAATCCTTTCTACTGGTACCCTAGGCATAAACAAGCATTTAACCCTTATAGTGCGGGGGAAGGGGAGTTTCTTTTGTCCTCCCAGAGCTCAGCTTTCAGTATAGATCTGCTTTTAATTCCCAGCCTTACCCATGAGTCCTCGGCCTGCAGGTGAGAAGCTTTGGTTTTCTTTTTCAGGGTCCCCTGCCACTGCCACCGTCACCACCTCCTGAGTCAGGGTTCCTGATGCACCATCCGCAGACACCTCAACAGCAGCATCACCTAAAAATTAAACCGAACAGTAATGCAAGATTCTGATATAATTACACAGCTCCACTTTCCTTGCTTCCTCTGGCAGAAATAACCTAGCAGTCAGTCATGCTTCTAATGTAAACAAACAGCTGGTGCTACAGGCTGTTAAGAAATTAATGGAAACATGGTATCTATGAATTACTCCAGAGTGCCCACTGTTACAGAGGTAAGTGAAGGCTTATTTTAAAGCTCATCCACTGCATGTTAAAGTGTATATAGCGAACATTTTTATTTTTAGCATTGGATAGAGGGCTGGGTTAAAACCCCTGTCAATTTATTTTTTGCTGTCTCTGCCCTGTTAAAGGAGAACTATGAGGCAAGTGAAAAATCACTCAGCCTCATAGTTCTAGCCGACCTGTGACCATGAGACTGTCACAGGTCGGCTCAATAGATCGGTAAGTAAGCGAACACATGCCGTCGCTTGCTCACTTATCGATCATGTCCCTGCAGAGAGCGGCGACTGTCACTCACGGCTCCCTGCAGGGATTTCCCCCCTCCCCTATACGATTCTGCGGCGCTGACTGGCGGAACGAACGGGGAAGGGGTGGGTACAGCTGGCTCTGCCTCTAGATAGGCAGAGCCAGCTGTCAATCACGCAGCTGGGTGAATCCAGACAGTAAAGTCGGGATCCGTCCCGGCTGCGGCGTCTCAGTATACCGCGAGCTGTAGCTCGCGGTATACTGAGCTTTGGGTGACCGAGGACGCTAGTTTGTGTCCTCCTGTTACCCTTAGGAGAACTATGGGGAAAAGCCCTGACCCCATAGTTCTCCTTTAAGGAGAATTTCCTTCAACAAGAAATCCCTCCAAAGAGAAGTGGAAATCCCTTCTTCAATAAAACAAATGCCAGTGTGAAAGATTTACCCTCCCCCCTTATTTCTGTTACAACTGTAAAATTTGTATTTCCCATCACAATCTGTCTCTGCGACAATGGACACCACAAGAAATACATAAGGTGAATCTACCCAGAAGGAACACAAACTTTACCGGGGGTTCTAGCCCTTTTGTGAAAAAAAAAAAAAAAAAAGTTTTGGTTTGCCACTTCAAAAGAGAAGTGTGGGGTAACCTTTTTATCCCATAGTTCTGTTTAGGGTCACGGGAAGACCCAGAACTCCGTATATAGCAAGCTATAGCTCGCTATATACTGAGAGCACCGCAGCCGGGGCGGATCCCGACAATACTGTCGAGATCCACCCAGCTAGCTGATTGACAGCAGGCTCTGCCTATCTAGAGGCAGAGCCAGCTGTACCTGCCCCCTCTCCGTTCCTCCAGTCAGCGCTGGAGGATCGGAGAGGGGGGGAATCCCTGTGGGGAGCCGTGAGTGAGTCACCGATCAGTGCAGGATGATGATCAGAAAGTGAGCGAGCAACGGTTTGCATTCACGGACTTCCCGATCAATAGAGCCGACATGTGACAGTTTAATTGTCACACGTCGGCTCTAACTATGAGGATGAATGTAAATTATCTCATAGTTCTCTTTTAAGGCTTTTCTTTCACCGGGTGATCCTACCAGTGACACACTTCCAGCTTAGGGTGACAAACCTCAAACTGTACTATCTATAGAGGATCAGCGTTGTTACCCTAGGCTCATCTGCTGAATTGGACTACAAACACTTCCCCCTCTCCATTACATAATGAGGAGTTCTGTAAGTCCCAAAGCATAGCTTGGAAAGCCAAATAAAAAAAAGAAAGCTTTAAATATATTTACACTTCAAGATACTATAACTTCTTGTATATCCATAGCCTGAGCTCTAAGCAATACCCTGCCTAAGGTCCAGCTAAAGTTTCATACACAAAAGGTGTTTCTACCCCAAAAATGTATAACGCTTGACATTGTGGGTAGTAGGAAGTCATAATGTTACAGGTTTTGTACTTACCCCTCTCTGCACTGCCTGAAAGCCCCATGGTGTCTTCCACATGAGGGCTGTCTTTTTCAGACTCCCTTGGAGGCAATGCCTGGATGAAGAACATCAAGAGTCATCACAAGTCACTCTCAGACCTTTGTATCCGTCACAATACCCCCCCCCTAAAAAGAATCCTTCCTTCCTCTTCTATACATCCATCCAAGTTATACTTGGTTTCGGGTTTGATTAGACTCAGCCCAGACAATGACTGACATTACTTTTCATATGACAGATTGCCATCCCATCGGTCTCTCATCAGTAAACCCCTCTCCTCTTGTCTTCAGTCTTTCATGCTCACTGCTTTGTATTGGCTTTTGAAATTACTCCCGCAAGTCTATATACCTAAGGTACCCTAAATTTTCCAACACGCCCTTTCTATGTACGGACAATGTAACTGAACAATCCAGACATCTTCAATACTTACTATGCCTATACTGTTTCTTGCCTAATTAACCCCCTCATCTGATATACTGCCCAAACTGAACAGGTACTTAGTGCCTTCTGCAGTTATTCTCCAGATACCCCGTCCTACTTACCAACTATCTACCCCTCACTACCCAGACACCCTTTTTTTTTTTTATCACCACATCACTATACCCACACCTCCTCTCCACATGCTTGATTTAACTTCCCCTATACCTACTCACTCCTCTCCATATACCACCTTCTACAACCCCTATACCCACCCCTCCATATACCACCTTCTACTACCCCTATACCCACTATTCTTCTCCACATGCCCTCTTCTACTACCCCTATACCCATCATCTCCTCTCCCCATACTACTTATACTTCCCCTATACCCATCCTCTCTTCATACTACCCCTCCCCATACTACTTCTACTTCCCTTATACTCACCCCTCCTTCCACAAACCCCTTTTCCCACCCTTACACCCCCTTCCCCCGGTGCCTTATCAATTGCCCTTCATAATATCTCATTTCCCAGACAGTTCCCTATTTTCTCCTCTATTTTCAGCATTGTTCTTTGCAGCTTCATTCCTCCTCGCCCTCCACATCCCCTCTATATGAGCCCTCACACTCCACCTTCCTCTAGCGTAGTCCTCACTTTCCCTGCTGACACCACTATGCTCACCCCTCCCATCACATGTTATTGTCAGCTGGACCCTCATATTACAGCAACCATTATAGTTTCTCCTCAACACCATCATTTACACAATGCCACCCAAGGCTCAACCCTCCCACACAGCCCTCCCGCTCTCTCTTCCCTCCTGTCCGTCCCCGGCATTCCTCCCCTCTCTTTCTCTCACTCTCTCTCCCGCCGCCTCCATCGCTGCTCAGCACACAGCACTTCCCGTCTGGCCACTGACCTCACTTCCGGCTCCCTCCCCACCGGATTGGACGGGGAGCCTTCCAGCGGGTGGGCCAGCTACAACAACGCTCCCCGCTTCCCTATTGGCTCTCGGGTTGCCGTGGAGATACCCAGGTTCACGCTATCCTTCTCTGAGCCCATTGTAAACATTTGCGTGTCAGAAGTCACGTGCCCGCATCTTGATTGGCCGCTGTGCGTTTCAAGACTCGATCTGAATTCAGCTCTACTACTTAAAGCGGCAATGCCAAATGCAGGTTGCACGTGAAGTCTAAAATGATATACAAATATGGAGAATCCATGTAGTGAATAATAGCAGAATATAAAAAAGTAAGCGCCATATTTGGTGACAACACATGTCCGCTAAAATACTGAGGCGGAACTGGGCTTTGTAGTTTCTTCAGTCACTCCAAGTGCATTGATACTGTTAAAGAGAACCTGTCCTAAAGCAATATATTTGTATATAAAGTCTCAGGGGAGAGGGTGATACCAGGTAAAACTAATCTGTAGCTGAGATAAAACCTAGATTAGGATATTTGTTTTAGTTTTGGGTGCAGCCGTGAAGAGCATTATGATTAATAGTAATAAAATCCACACTCCATCATTGGTGGTCACTGGCATTTTAACCTCTCCATCATTGGTGTTCACTGGCATTTTAACCTCTCCATCATTGGTGGTCACTGGCATTTCAACCTCTCCATCATTGGTGGTCACTGTAATTTTAACCCTCCCATCATTGGTGGTCAGTGGCATTTTAACCTCTCCATCATAGATGGTCAGTGGCATTTTAACCTCTCCATCATTGGTGGTCAGTGGCATTTTAACCTCTCCATCATTGGTGATCACTGGCATTTTAACCCCCCATCATTGGTGGTCAGTGGCATTTCAACCCTCCCATCATTTGTGGTCAGTGGCATTTCAACCCTCCCATCATTGGTGGTCATTGGTGAATTAAAAAAAACACATGAAAATTGTGCAACGTTAAACAAGCACAAATACTTGGTGATGAAATGTGGTACGCCTGTAGCAGAATCTGCTATATGAGCTACTTTCCTGCCTTTCTCATGCATGCAGCACCCATTACAACCAATGAGCGTCGCAAAGAAAATGCGCAAAAAATGCACAAGAACGAAACGTGAAGATGGTAATGGGGACTTACATTCAAGGCATGGAAACTGTCAAGGTTGCCTGTGTGCTTATTTCAGCTCTCAACCAAACTTTCAAGCCCTAAAATGGCTGGTGTCACAGCTGGTCACATGGTGCAGCACCATGGTAACTGCAATCCAAATAGAAGCCAAGATGGCGCCTTCCTTGGCTGTAAGGCATAGGAGGGTGTGATTCCGCTTTAACATGAGTGCTTGTGTAAACAGTCCATTGTGTTTGTGGTAAGCCAGGTAGATGCTCACATTGGAGAGGGGTTGGTAGACCTAATATAGACTGTCCAATCAGATGGAACGTGTGTGGTCAAAAGTTGCCAACGACGATGCTGTGCCATGTGACTCAATATATATCCGGTCAGGCAGGCCCTCATTCTTCATAGTGGCCGGGAAACCTAAAGGATAAGCAGATGTGTGACCAGCTTTAGTGCTGGGCTCTATGGAGCATGTCTAGGTAAGGTCTGGAAGGGTGGCGCCATGTTGGTTTGCATGGTGCCATCATTGTGACATCACTAAGGCTCCGTACAGACGTGTATATTTTTGGAAGGTAAAAATGATTAGAAGTCAAAAACCTTTTCTTATTTTGGATAGAGTGGGGGAGAATGCTGGGGTCTTCTTACCCATTAGGTGGGGTAATCCTTAATTCATATACTCACCTGCCCAGTGAATCTAGCGCTGTCCTGCTGCGATACACCTGGGTATAGTCTCATGCCACCATCTTGGTCCTCCTCAGTCATCAGGAGGCAGCTGCCTGTGCTGGGTTCAGGCAGCTGAGCCCCGCCCCTGTTGATGTGTCAGGTCTGCCCGCAGGCCGCTGTGTGTCACCGCCCCTGCAGCCTCCTGGGGCAGAAGGCAGTCGCATTTCATTCTTGCGGAGGCCAGATTGGTGTGGGGGCGGAGCTGGGGCAAATACAAGTAAATAAAAAGCGTCCTTTTTACTTTAAAGGGGTGGGGTAGTGTAGGAAGGTAAAGGGATTTAGTGGACTGGGGGAATGGGTCTCCTTAGGCACCTCTCCCAGGAGGGGTGGCTGAAGGTCGGCTCTTTGCTCCAGTATGGCCTGGGTGTGCATGGAGGAAAGTGCTAAAAGCGGAACGTACAGAGTCCAGATTTCATTTCATTCAGACTCTTATTCAGTCAACGCGTTTCGGGGGTTCGAAGGCTCCCCCTTCACCAGGGCTTGGTACTGTTGAACAAATAGGGAGCTGGACTGATAAAACTGGAGGGATTCTGAGGGGTAATAAGGAGGCATCTGGAGCGATCATCAGGTTTATTACCATTTAGGGTCCCTCCAGTTTTATCAGTCCAGTAACACTTTGTTTATGGCAGCACTTGGGTCTGGCCATTGGTAGCTCAGACATTAGGTCAGAGGTGAGCAACTCTGGCCCTCCAGCTGTGCTCTAGCTACAAATCCCATCATACCACTAAAGCCAACTTGCTGCATTGTGCTGAATGGACAGCTCAGTGGGTGCGGCCAAGTTTGGGCCCACCAGCTGTGGTGGAACTACAAATCCCATGAGGCATTGCAAGACTCTGGCAACCAAAGGCATGACTTCTGGAGACAGATGCATGATGGGACTTGTAGTCTCATCACAGCCGGAGCACCAGAGTTTGACTACAGGCTCATAATAAGCCCACATGCCCAATAAAGGAATCAAAGACAATTCCAAGCACCTAAATATGATTTCAATATATATGTCTGGATAAGTATATTGACACTTTAAGAGACCTCTTAAGGGGGCATATCATTTGCTCACGTGGGGAGGGGGAGGGTGTGCCTGCTGACCCCTTTCCAGCCAAAACGTCCCAGGTTGCTAAGAGCTAGCAATCTGTGACGCTCTGGCTGGCGTCTTACCCAGCTCACCGACATCACTGGTTGCCAGGAGCTGGGCGTGATGCCGGACAGAGGTAACGTGCGCCCCCCACCCCAGTAAAGAGTTTTCACTGCAGTTTCACTTTCATTTACAGGTCTCCTCCCCACCCCCAACCTGTGACTGGACAGTGAAAGGAAAAGCAGCTTGCGGATGATCTCATCTCTCTGGAAACACCTGATTGGCTCCTTGTGCTGTTTCTCCACCTCCAAGCCTGAGCTCTGCTGTGCAGACTGTAAAGCAGACTGCAAGAGGCTAATACCAAGTCCAATTTAGGTATTTACATGAATTTGCAATAAAAAAGAAATAAATTTAATGATTGCAGAGCTGCATTGATATTTTCCTTTTATGTAAGCCTGGAGTACAGACTGATTCAGCCAGACCTGCATGTCCATACAGAGTGCGAACCTGTAAAATGACCTGACTCTGGTAGGGACAGGTGTAATTGCGAGCAGTAGCCTGGTCTTCCCTATCAGGAGACGTGGCTGCACACAATTACATGTGGTCACATGCACACCCGAAACCGCACATCCATGTGCGTCCGGGTACCCACACTTGGAAGCAGACAGTGTGTGTCCAAGTGCGGGCAAATTTGCAGGTTTGGGTGTGCGTGGACAGATTTTCTCTTTCTGCTGCCCCAATGCCAGGTTCCTCAATGCGCCCCCCTGTATGCAGGCTGCATACAAGTCATCTCGGCAACATCACCGAGATCACTTGTAGAAAACAAGCGGCAGCTTCCCCGCTGTACATTTAGCTCTGGTTGCCCAAAGCAGGGCTAAATGTAGAAAACAACTACCCGCCCGGCGCCCGGAACTGCAAGTCCTGGGGAGATAGGAATTCCACATGCCTGCTGCCCCTCTACTCCCTGCTGCCCCGAGGCCGGGCCTTGGTTGGCCTTGTGGATAATCCAGCCCTGCGTGTGGCCGCGTATCATTTTGTGCAGCCTTGTCCTCCCATAGGGAAGAACAGGCTGCTGCGCGCAAATACACACAGCACCTGTCCCTTCCAGGATCGGGCCATTTGACAGGCGTACATGCTCTATGGACGTCCATGCCCGTCTGAATGTGCCTAAATCATAATGCATTATTCTTTGCCATTGAAACCGATCCATTCTGAGATCGTTACCCAACAAGCTGACATCTTTTCTTAAAGCTGAATCTTTTTTTTTTTAAATGTTTTTTTATTTAAAACAAACTATACAGTAAGCTCTCATGGCAAGGACTTTAATTAAAAAACACACACACACACTAAAATGATTAATAGAAAATCTTATTTAAAGCCCAACTCCAGACAATTTGTATTTCAGTTTTAGATAGAGTGGAGAAAACATAAACATTCTGTCAGATTTTATCTGCGACTGGCCCTGCTGTATTTTTCATGACGACGTTTCGCAGGTCATCTGACTAGCTTTCTCAATTCTGAATTGTGTTCAAAGTGCGGGCGCCCGAACCTGCACAAATTTGCAGGTTCCGGTGTACGTGTGGCCGAGTGTAATTGCGTGCAGCCATGTCCTCCCATAGGGAATAACAGGCTGGTGTGCGCAATTACACGCAGCACCTCTCCCTTCTGGGATCGGGTCATTTGACAGGCGTGCATGCTGTGAGAAAGCATTAGGGAGAGCTAGTCGGATGACAAGCAAAACAACTTCAAGAAAAATACAGCAAGTCCAGTTGCCTTGATTTATTTTTGCAGATACACCATGACCTGGATGAATGAGAACCTTCACAGACATTCTGCCAGATTCTTATTTCTGTCTGTGATCCCAGGGGGGAGATTGCTCCTCACTTCCTGTCCACGTGACACCAGGACAATAAATGACAACAGTTGACACTGTAATAGGAAGGCACAGACGGCAATAAAAACCTTCTTTGCGCTACAACCAATGTATTTTTGTTTGCCCAATAGGGACAACAATAAACACCTGACAAATGCTGTAAATTGTCCCCAACCTTTTAAAAAAATACTATCAAATGTTTCGGCTGGATTTGGGCTTTAACATTGTAGTAGCAGAACCAAAAAAGATGTTCATAGCGCTCAACCTGTAGCATCCAATTAGATTGCACTTTACAGGAGGTGTCATATCAGTAAAAGATGAATTCTGATTGGTCTCCTGGGGTTGCTTCACTGTGCACATTGTTCTTTGCCTGATTAATGTAAAAATCCAACCAAAACCTTCATTTTAATTTGGGTAGATGTGGGAAATAATAAGTACGCCAGTCAGGTTATTTTTTTCCTTTTCGGGGTTCTGTTTGGCCTCATTCACACAGCGTAGAGTGGGGCCGTACAGATGCGTTGTACGCAGCAGCCTTTTCTTCTCTATGGGAGGACACGGCCATATACTGTCGTACTCACCCGAGCTGCACATCCGTGTGGGTGTTCGTGCTTGGACGCACACAGGATACATCCTGTCTGCGTCCGACTATGGACACCCGCACTCGCATGGATGTGCAGCTCTGGTGAGCGTACTGCTGCGTCCTCCTATAGGGAAGGACAGGCTGCTGGGTACAATCACACACAGCACCTGTCCTACCCGGGAACAGCCCGATATGGCCGTGCACACCACACGGATCTGTAGGGCCCCACTCTACGCTGTGTGAATGAGGCCTTTGACTTGCTGACCTGGTGTCACCAAACAGGAAGTAAGGACAAAATCTGTAAAGACACAGACAGTATTAAAACGCGGATAGGGGTTCTAGCCGTCCCCTACTCTATTAAAACCAAAGCATTGTTAAAAAAGAACTCCAGGAATCTAAAAAAGTACCCCCTGCAGTGGGGCTACCCTTGTGCTCCTTTTGGTCAGGGGGCTCAAATAAAAAAATATTTACTCACCCGATCCTCAGGTTCTGCCGGGTTGCTAGACCAGTTCCCGCAGCCTCTTCTCCCCTGTGCTCAAGCGGTCTAAGGACTGCTGACGTCATCACATCTGATGCAGGTTCATTCACCTGCATCAGATGTGAGGAGGCCAAGGGACATACAATAGCATACCATAGCATGAGCAGAGGGGGAGAGAGGTAAGAGCTGACCACCGCAGGATTGAGGATCAGGTAGGGTTGCAACCTTTTCTTCCAGCAAAACCCGAACATTCTAGCGACGCACGGACATTTTTTAGTGAGAATGAGCAGCCCATTCATATGTATTCATATGTAAATATCACAGTTGAGACTACTTTCAGTGGGGGGCCAGTAGCCCCTATCTTAATTTTGGTTGCCCCTGTCTGCCTGTCATCTTGTGTTCGGGTTTCTGCTGCCATGAAACCCGGACACAGCATTCAAAACCCGGACTCTCCGGGTGAATTCTGGACAGGCGGCAACCCTAGGATCAGGTGAGTATATCTTCTGTATTCTGGGCCCCTAGACCAAAATGAACAGTCAGTTACCTATTGCATCGTGGGGGTAGCCCCACTACAAAGGGTTAATTTTTAAAATAACTGGAGTTCCTCTTTAATTCTGTCTTTGGCTGGGTTGCTGTTTGAGATTTTCACTCACTTCCTGTCTGGAAAAAATGTTGTCACCAGGAAGTGAAAGGAAAATCCACAGCCCCAGATAGCAGGAAAACCCAACTCAACAGGGGATCTAATCGTTCCCCACTGAATCCAAGACTCTGATCCCCCCAAAAAATAGAAGTGTTGGCTGGACATATACTTCCGATGTTCTCATTAATATTGCTACAGAAGAAGCTAACAAGATGGCAGTGGTAGTTTGTAACAGACAAAAGCAGGTCTTCAAAAAAGCTTCTGGCAGTGCACGCTGGAACTTCTAGTTGTCCAAATAAAAGCTGAGGGGCCTGAAGCTGCCAAAAGCCGGCCAAACAACATTGTAACCATTTTACAGAGCTAAACATGTGAAACTGGCAGTCACGGAGGTTGAAAAAAGTCACTAGGCCTAAAAAAAGGTACATCTAGCAGTCCATTAGTGCAAATACAAAGTGGACAAAACTTGTTTAAAGCTCAAACTTGCTCCCTACGCAGGTCCCTTCAATGTCCTCTCATCCAGTGCCACATCCCAGCATGATGTTCATCTCGACCACACCGGCTTCCATGATATTCTGCGCCGTGGTCTTTCCATGTTGCTCCTTGAGATGGCGCCTTATGGCGGGCTTGTGGGCAAACCTGACGTCACAGTAAGAGCAGCGGTATGGACGCTCCCCGCTGTGGAGGTTAAGGTGGTCGTGGAGCGTCGATTTCTGCGTGAAGCACTTGCCGCATATGTTGCAGGAGTGGGATTTTACCCCTCTGTGTACATTCATGTGGCGGTTCAGGTTGCTGCTGTGGTTGAACTGTTTCCCGCAACGTGGGCACATGAAGACAAAGTGCTGTGCCCGCATGTGGAACACAAGCTTCTCCACCCCTTGAAAGGTCTCGTCGCACTTGCAGCATCTTAAAGTCCGTTTCATTCCTAGCCGTGCGTCTCCTAAGACCATCGTCCCCAGTGATGCCAGTCCGCCCAAAGCATTTCTTGAAGATCCCTCAATCACAACACTGCTTTGACAGCCACCCATGCCCCCTTCTATAGTCTCTTCCTCATCTTCGTGATAGCTACTTGGAATAATAAGTACCCCCTCCGCGCTTTCCATTTCATCGCTATAGATGGCCTTCATCACTCCACCTCGTTGGATAGTTCCATCTCCTGTTTCTCCACCTTCGACGGTAGAGTTGACCAAAGCCTCCTCGGGCTGTTCTACCAAGTTCTGCTCTCCTTTATCCCATGACCTCCGTTCTTTTTCCCCTCCACCGTCACCCATACCAGCCTCCAGTTTCACAATGCAGATATTTGAGGTTGATTCTTCTTCCTCCTCCTCATCTTCCTCCTCTTCTGCCATCATCAGCATTTCCTCTTCACTGTCGTCTGTCATCTTAACCTCTGGTTTCAAAGATCTAGAATGATCAGGTGGACGACTTGGGCCTGTTGATGTTGTTGTAGATGAAGCATTTCGAGTGGGTGTGGTTCTGATAGTATTGATAGTGTCCCTCAGGCCTATCTGAGGATCAATAAATTGACACAAGGCTTGGCGACACTTCTCCACCACATGTTCCATCTGCAGATAACTAGCGGCAGTTAAGTAGTTGACGATCTCCCTGACGGGAAATTCCAGCAGCCCAGTGTAGCAAGAAAGTAGAAGATCTGTTACAACTTTGGATCCATGCATGATGGAAACCTGGAGCTCAGAACCTGGGTTCAGGAGGAACTGGTCTCTGAGGAATGGAGAACAAGCTGCCAGCACCACACGGTGGCCCCTGAATTTAAGGCTTTCAGAGAGGATAGTCACGTCACAAAAACGTTCCTCTGAACGTAGCTGGTTCATGCTGCGGAGAGTGGCCGCCTCATGGCCAGGCAGCTGGAAATGCAAAATGTCAGCAGCAGATGTCATCTTTGATCAAAACTATGGAATAAGAAAGTCTTATTAACTAACAAGGTGTTTTCAGTAGCTTCTCAATTTCAATGGACGACCTTTTTGTCTCAGTTTCTTCTTTTTTGGTGACTTTAGGCAACTTAGATTTAAGGGAAGAAGGCTTAAGATCGTCATGGAAACATAAGTATCTTGGTACTTCATAAATGTATCAGTGTATCAGTGCTCCATTCCATTTGTTGAGGACATCTGAGAATTAAGTAGCAGCTTGCCCTGGGTAGAAGATAAAGATTGTAAGGGTATGTGGAGGCATAAAATGAATATAATATCAAATAATAATAATAATAATAAGTCAGGCAAAAATATAGAGAGGGAGGGATAGAGAGAGAGGGAGGGAGGGATAGAGAGAGAGGGAGGGAGGGAGGGAGAGAGAGGGAAGGAGAAAGAGGGGGGGAAAGAGAGAGAGAGAGAGGGAGGGACTACATTACTCTACTATCCTCCACTATATCCACACCTTCTGAAATCAGGGTGATGCTACTGACCCCTCAAGTTGGGTGATTATAGGAAGCAAATTGTATCTGAAGTTCTACTTTTTAGTCACCACTTCTCCAGCTTGTTGATTAGACAATTAGGTCATTACTGTGCTCTCCCCTCCTGGCAGCATCTTCATAATACTAGACTGACAGCACTGTGCCAAGCAATAGAACCCCAACTGGCCCAGGCTGATGGCCTTCCCATGGCCGGTCTAGGTGCTGCTGTGCAGAGAATTACAAGGAGATAATGTACAGAGGGTTTTTAGATACTGGACTGAAAGTAAGGGCTAATCCAAATGTTTTAGTTTTCATTGCAAAAGGGATAGAGTAGAAATCTTCCAGTGGGGACATCTGTTGTAGTGACAACTGTCTCTCACTTTGGAGAGATTTCTTCTACCTTCCTGATGTCTCTGCAGACCATGAAGTGAAGGGAAGTCTCCCCATTGAGATACAAATGACAAAAAACAAATCCTGACAGGGGTCTTAAAACTTTCCTACCCATTCCAAGAGTATGTAAATGTTCTGACTTAAAGCAGAACTCCAGGCAAATCAAATGTTAACCCTTGCAGTGGGGCTACCCCTGCACTGCATGGGTTAAGAGCTAGTTTTCTCTAGGGAGCTAAAATAAAAAAGTTATACTCACCCAAAACCGCCAATCCGGTCAAAGCCCACCTGAGAGCCTGCGCAGCCCACCTGAGACCCTGCAGAGCCTATTAAAAGCCCAATAAGCCCACATGAGACCCTGCACAGCCCGCCTGAGACCCTGCACAGCCTCCTGACAGCCCACCTGAGACCCTGCATAGCCCACCTGAAACCCTGCACAGCCTCCTGAGATCCCGCACAGCCTGCTGAGATCCCGCACAGCCCACCCGAGACTCTGCACAGCCCACCTGAGAACATTCTCAGCCTCCTTATATCCCTCACAGCATACCTGAGACCCTGAATAGCCCACCTGAGACCCTGAACAGCCCACCTGAGACCCCGCACAGCCCTCCTGACACCCAGCATAGCCCTCCTGAGACCCAGCATTGCCCACCTGAGACCCTTCACAGCCCACCTGAGTCCCTGGAGACATCAGGCATCCACCCAGAGCAACCCAGAGCTTCATATTATTCTGCATTGATGTATAATGTTTTGCTGGGATTTGTAGTCCTCTATAGCTGGTATTCCTGCTAATAGCGCAACCTGTCCGAAGCTGGATACAGCGTGCGCGCCGTATCCAGCGACTGACAGGTTATCTAAAATGTTTTAAACAGGAAGGGGCGCGGGCAAATGTAGATTATGGGGGGGGGGGGGGGCCCAATTTAGTTCT